GGGGGGGGGGGGAGACCAGGGGGCTTATTCGGAGCAACCCCCCCCCCTTCCGCAGAACGTCTCCTGGCCAGGACGGCGCTTGGGGGCCATTTGCGCACCCATCGGGACGCCCCAACGTGCAGCCCCAGCCGAGGCTCCCTGGGGCCTCCCTCCCCGCCTGCGCTGAGCCCCCCGGCCCCCCGGCGTCCAACACGCGGAGCTTCGCCGCCCCGGAACCCACCGCCCCGCGGCCAGGCTGACGGGACGGGCGAGCCTTGAGCGACAGCGGCGCCTGGCGGCCGAGCCGGGAACAGCGCCGCGCCCACCTTGCCGGCTCGGCCTCGCCCGGGAGCCCCTCGGCAAAGGGCCCCCGCCGCCGCCCCCGGCTCCCTGCGGGCTGCGGGGCTCCGGGGGGGGGGGGCAGAGCCAGGACGAGCCTCGGCGCCCCCTCGTACCGCCCGGCCGCAGCAGGCGAACCCAACGCGGCCCGGCCCGACCCCCGCCCCGGCGTGGCTGATGGGCCGCGGCGGGGCTGTGGCCAAGGCCGAAGCGCTTCGACGGCTCCCCCGCCCGCCCTTCCGCCCCCCCTCCCGGCCGGCAGCCCCCTCCCTCCCTCCCTTCTCCCGCGGCGGGGCGGCGCCGGGCGGGGCGGGCGATATAAGGGCCCCTCCGGCTGGGCCGCCGGGCAGAGCGAGCGCGATGCCGGGCGCGGGCGGTCAGGCGGGCCGGGGCCGGGCCGGGGGAGGCGCGCCGTCGCGGGCCGCCTGAGCGCCTCCATGGGCGAGGTGGGCGGCTTCCTGGGCTCCCTGGAGCTGCACGGCTTCCCGGGCTCCCTCGGGGCGGCGCCGCTGGCCGACTCGCCGGGCTTCCTGACGGAGCGGCTGGGGCAGATCGAGGGCCGGCTGCAACGGGGCTCGCCCACCGACTTCGCCCACCTGAAGGGCATCCTGCGCCGGCGGCAGCTCTACTGCCGGATGGGCTTCCACCTGGAGCTCTTCCCCAACGGCACCGTGCGCGGCACCCGGCAGGACCACAGCCGCTTCGGTGAGTCCCCCGCCCGGCGACCTTTCCGGGGACCCTCCGCCTCCCGTCGGGCGGGCCAGGCGCGGCTCCCGGAGCTCCTTGGCGGCCTTTGCGAGGCTCGCCCGGGAGCCGGAGAAGCAGCGGCAGGTGCTGCGGGAAGGGACGGGGCGGACGCCGAGCGGGGCGCAGCGCGGCGCTTCTCTCGCCTGGGGAGCTTCGGAGGTCGCAGCCGCCTGGAGAAGGCGGCAGAGCGGAAGGCGGGCGTGGGCTCCCTCGGCCGCCGCGGCCCCCTCGGGCGCTTCGCTTGCAGGCCTCCAAGCGCTTCGGGGGGGCAGCGGTTGTCCCGGGTGTGGCGCGCGGGGCTGCCGGGAAGGCAGAAGGGCCGGAAAGCGCCGGCAGCAGCAGCTGCCTGAGGCCGCCGAGCAAGCGGCCCAGACGGCTCCCGGCCTCGCGCCTGCCCGGCGGTTTCCGAGGGCCAGGTGGCTTCGGCCTCCCCGCCCGGCGACTCGGCCTGTTTGGTGGCAGCTCCAAGAGCCGCCGCTGCGCCTGAGGTGGGCGGCTCCGAAGGGAGTTTGTGGCGCAGCGTTTCCCCTCCTGGCGGCCAGGTGGGTTCGGCTGCTGTGGAGGGAAGTTGGGACGCTTTGACCCGCTTCTCGCTCGCTCGGCAGCTCCCGAGCAGGAAAGCCCCGCAGAGCAACGGCTGGCCGCTAAGAGGAGGGAAAGGCTCCGGAGGGCCCCATTTCCCCTCAGCCGGGCTTCCCGGGGGCCGCCTTGCCTCGCCTTGTTCCAGGGGGCGGGGGGGGGCACTTTTGGTGTTGGGGGAGGCCTGGAGGAAGGAGCGGGTGAGGGAGGCCCCGGAGGCTCCTTGGCTGACTTGAGCTGGCTGGGCGCACAAACCGAGCCACCCAGGCCGGCTTTCACCAGGCCTTGAGGGATGAAGCCAGTGTTCCTATCTGCAGCCCTAAGCAAATGCAGCTAGAAAGGCGGGGGGGGGGCAGGCGATGGCTTTACCCCCAGACCAAGGCGTTGGGGCCAGGGTCCCAGCTCCCCTCCAGCCTTCAGTCGCTTTCCCTTCCCTTTGCTTGGAGGCGGCAGCCGTGCCCGTTTTCTGCAGGCTGTGAAAGAAACTCCCCCTCCGAGAAATGTCTGCATTTCTGATTTAAACCGTGGTGGCTATTCGGAGCTGCTGCTTCCCCCACAAGGAGGCTGGTCTCTCCTAATCGGAGGAAGAGCCGGGCAAGTCGCCTGAGGACCCAGCCGGGCAGAAGGAGCCGGGCAGGCCGGCCTCCTCTGCTCTCCCCCAGCCCCCTTGAGTAGATCAAAGGAAGAGGATTCGTTGCAGAAAAGACTCCAGGTGTTCCTTCTGGGTTTTCTCGTAGGCCAAGCAAGGGAGACCAGACCACAAGACGGAACTTCCGTAGCTCTTCATTCTACCTCAGAGGAAGCTTGGTTTTTGTCTGTAAAGAACAGAGACCCAGAACGTTGGGGGGGCAGGTCAATGGGTGTGATTGGCACTTGGGGAGAGCATTATGGGCCCACTTACAAAATGGCAGCCTTGGGAGAGTCAACAAGGGGAAGATTGTCTCCCCTTTCCTTGTCCAAGAAAACCTTTCGGCTCCCTTTGGGGAATCGAAGGAATGGTTTGAACTGGAGAAAAGCCTAAGCCAGATGTTTCCCGCCGCCAGGCTAACTTCCCCTTGACCCTGAAGGAGTTTTCCCACTGGGATGGGTGGCAGACAAAACAATTCAGAGGAGATTGGCTAAAGCCTTGCCATCTGCCTTGCCTTTCCTGGATCCAGCCATCTGTTAAGGAAAGGAAGTAGGTCAGGTGTTAGCCTAGGCAACGGTGCCGCCTGGGAAGGGACCCTCCAGCCAGGAAAGCGGCTCAGAGACACCCAGCTGGGCCTTTAGGCTTGGTTGCTGCCCAGTTCTGGGTTCAGATTCTCTGTGGAGACGGACAGATTGTAACTATGTGGAAGGAGGGGGAGGAGAAGGAAGAGTCTTACAGGGAATTGCTGATCGGGCTAGCAGGACGAGTTGGAGAGGAGGCTGAGTCTGCTCAGAACAAGCATTTTGGCTGCTCCTGTTTATGGATGAGGCCTTTTCTCCTCATGCTGAAGCCGGATTAGGCCTTCATCCTGCACTGCAGGGCAGGTCGGTCTCCAGCCAGCTGCTCCTGAGGGGAGGATCAAGCAGGCCCTGTTGGACCGAGAGGGGAAAAGGCCTTTGGCCCTCTGGCTTTCTGGGCCGGAGGAGAAGGCTGGCCAAGCCAGCACCCAGCAAGAGGGCCCTCTAGAAGCTGCCCCATGGGCCAGCGTCTCTCTTTGCCACGGCTGGAGTGCAGCTCCCAGAACTTCCCGGCCAGAATGGAACTCTAGGAGCTGAAACCCGCCATTCTTGAAGCCCCCCAGCTGAGGATTTCTAGAAGCTCGAGTCCAGCGATTTTAAAGTTGCTGAAATTGAGGAATATAACTGCAGATGGTGGCTCTACATAGCTGCATATGTGACTTTGATGTGTCTCTCAAGGGAGCATTTATCCCAGAGGGTTTGGTACATGGAGTCACCCGGGCGTCACCTGGGTGCTGCTGGCGCATCATTTTCTAACCAAGTGGTTATGTAGGCTGGAAGGATCGGAAGGGGCCCTGGACACCAACCCCACCAATGCAGAGACCCCCTGGCTGTGTCTCCCCAAGCCCCTCCTGTAAAGCAGCCCCTGCCATTGTCCAAGGCAGCCTGTTCCGTGATTGAGCAGCGTTAGTTTAGGGAAAGATCACGAGGAGCATTTGAAGGAGGCCAACCGCCCTTGTCTCTGGTCCCATCTCAGGAACAGCTCTGAACAATTCTGCCCTTCCGTCTCCATCTCAGCCTTTCAGGCCCTTGAAGGAGGCTCCCCAGAGTCTGCTCTTCTTCATTCATACCCAACCTCTCTCTGTTCCTCTCCCGCTTTTCCTCCCAGGCCCCGTTTCATCTGGCTTACTCTCCTCTGACGTGCTCCAATGTACTAACGTTCTTGCTTGCAATGTCTAGAAATGCTAGGTGTGATCTGACTACTGCTAACTTCCTCTCTATTGGAAGGGAAATGGTGGCCAAGCTGCCTTAATGGAGTTTTTCTGCCATGATTTTGTCTATTTATACCTCATCATTATAGTTTTTTTTTTTCAAGGGGGTGAACATATCCAACACACCGTCTACCTCCTATTTTCCCCAGAACAACCACCCTGTGCGGGTGGGTGGGCAAAGAGAGAGTGACTGGCCCAAGGTCACCTGGTCAGCTTTCATGGCCAAGGCAGGACTTGAACTCATAGGTTCTTGCTTTCTAGCCTAGTGGCTTAACCACTGGACCAAACTGGCTCTCGTTGATTTTTTTTCTGGTTGGTGTTCTGGAGATGTTCTTGGGAGGCATCTGCATATAGGTTGGAAACCTTAGGGGTTGTGGGGGAAAACGAGCCCCACAGAATGCCTTCTCAATGGCTAGATCCCAATGGCGGAAGGGTCCACCAAGCGAGCCCGATTCTTAATCCGTTCTCCCAGCAGGGGGGGTGCAGGATTTCTGTGCAGCCCCCAACTGTGTGCAGGACATTAGCGCCAACCTGAACGGATTGAACACCAGTTGCAACTGTTAAGGAAGAGGCGTGAATGTCTCGTTTCCAGGCAGCCTCATTCCAAGAGATTCGCTGCACTCAGATGAGCGTCTCAGATTGTGACGCTGCTCTGATCTTGTCAACAAGACAACATTATGTAGTTGATTGCAATCCAGGTGTAAATTCTGCTATTTTAAAATAGAACAGCTCCAGAACAGCTTGGAAACAAAATCTATTCAGGATTATCTATATGGTCTTCAAACTTGAGCTACCCAAGCAACCCCTTCTCAGCATGAAAAACCAGTGAGGAAGCCATTAATGTACCTTTTCATGCAATGCAAAAGAATGTTACAGTTACGTTGCAATCCTGCATTTCCTATCCTGTGAACACAAACTCTCAGGTTCTCGGGGAATCCTTCGGTTCTTTTGAATACTGCCAGTCTAATGGAAGCCTCGGTGGGAAGGGGCTGTGGCGACACCTCCTGCAGGTGGTCAAGGAATGCCATCCTGCACAGGTGGGAGCGTTTCCTTGAGAGGCAGAGGGGGCAGCTACCCTGAAAAGAAGGCAAGTGGGAAAAGAAGGAACTAATAATGAGAGAAAATTATAGGTACTCCTCAAGTTATGACTGCAATGGAACCTACCCCTCACGGTCATAACTCATGACAGTTATAAATCAGGTCACCCATGTGACTGACCCAATTTTACGACCTTTTTTTGTGGTGCTTGTTAAACGAAGCAGTGGCCATAAAGTCACTGCAACAGTTGTGAAGTAAACACCACTTTAAGTGAACTAGGTTTGCTAAAACATATGAAGAACGCTTGCAGGAACTGGGCCTGGCTAGTCTAGTGAAGAGAAGGACCAGGGGAGACAGGAGAGCAGCCTTCCAGTATTTGAGGGGCAGCCACAGAGAGGAGGAAGGGGTCAAGCTATTCTCCAAGCATCCAAAGGCCAGACAAGGAATAATGGATGGAAACTGAACAAGGGGAGATTCAACCTGGAAATAAGGAGAAACTTTCTGACAGTGAGAACAATCAACCGATGGAACAGAAGTTGCCCTCAAAAGTTGTGGGAGCAGCATCCTTGGAAGCTTTCAAGAAGAGACCAGACTGCCACCTGTCAGAAATGGTGTAGGGTCTCCTGATTGGGTGGGGGTGGGTGGTGGACTAGATGACCTACAAAGTCCCTTCCAACTCTGTTAATCTGTTAAACAATGGCTTTTGGCAAAACTGTTGTAAAACATGGTCACATAACTGTGGAACATTACAAATGGCCGTAAATGCAGGCCAGTTGCCAAAAACCCAAGTGCAGTCATGTGACTGGGAAGGAGGGGAGGTGACCATTAGAACTTACAGGTATCCCCAGGGAGGTCCGTTGCCATTTTGAATATTGCTGAACGCCCTGTCATAAGTTGAGGACTCCCTATATTTTTGGGCTCTGTCTCGGTCAGATCAGGGACTGCCAAAGCTCTGCAGGGATTCAGACGCTGTTTTTCCCAACCTCTCCAAGAAGGCAGCCATTGAACCCGAGGTCTGTGGCCAGTGAATCTTTTCTGGGGCCGCTAAGCCACATTATCCTCTGGCCAGTCCCAGCTTCTGCAGTGGGAGATAATGTGCCATAGTTGGAAACATGGCAGCCATGAGTTGCCCTCTTTGGAAGGAGCTCGGGGAAATGTGCATTGCAGCCCTCCTGGGTTTTTTTTTTCCCCCATCCATGTTTTAAACAGAAAGTTTCTGTTGCTAGTTAATGCAGGCTTTTTTTGAGCAAATGTTTTTTAACTGAATGCAGGACAGGCTGATTGTGTTAGAAAACCAGGAAGAAGCTGTCCCCAAAATATTAATGATGGGCAGATCTTTGAAATGGGTAATTGTTGCTTGGACAGGAGACAGACTGAGAAGATAGAAGCTGGGGTGAAGTTGCCCTCTTCTTATTGTGGCCTTTCTGGTGGCCACCCTTGCCCCATTGTTGGAGGGCAGAGTTGGCTCTCCTGGAGGGGGAAGTGGAGGGAAGGTCCCAAAACCCAAGTGAAAAGATGGGACGCTTGGTTGTCTCTGGGCAAGTCCTCTCAGGGAACTTCAAGCGGTGGTGGTGGTGGAAGCAGAAGCGGGCCAGGTGGTTTGGCAGCAGTTACGTGTCTCTGCCTTGTAACGCCACAATGCGTAAACATACAACAGCCCTGCGAGGCTCTCCATTCTGTGAAGAGAAAGGCTGAAGCTGAGCTCACCTGGAGAGTTGACACCAGAAATGAGCGCTGAGCAAGGAGGTGCTTTGGCCAAGATGAGCTCCTGTGTGGACTCAGCACGGAGAATAAAAACGGGGGGCTGGAAGTCCCCTCCGCCGTGCCTTTCTCCTGGCAGGCCTTCAAAGGCAGCGGGGGATCTAGGCGGCTGGTGAGGAGGGGCTTTGAAACAGAGGAGCAAGTTTCTGGGAACACGTTTGGTGTGTGTGTGTGTGTGTGCTTGTGTATCCATGTTGCTCATGCTGCCTTGAGCTTCTCTTCCGTGCACAGAAGGGGCTTTGCCGCCAGGGCTGGTCTGGATTCCCTCTTTTTGCCTGAGAGCCCAGGTTCTTGCTTGGGATGAGAATTTCTGAGATTGCTGCAGTCCTGATCCTTGGGGGTGGGGGGCTATGGGACCCTGTGTTTGAGTTCCTCTTTTCTCCTGCAGCCCCTCTGCGGCTGGGAAGATTCTCCCCTCCAACAAGCCCCCCCCACACCCTGCGTTAATATGCAGCCCCTGTGCACCTGTTTCCAAGCAGCTGTTGGGTGGGGGATGGGTGTTGAAAGTTTAGCTCTGCAGATCTGAGTACAACCTTCAGCTTGTTCAGGAGCCCCCCAGCCAGGGCCTCCCCCTCCCGGCTCCTACTACGAGGAGAAGAGACAGGTGCAAGCGGCCGGCCGGCCGAAAGTCGTCACAAAGCGATTGTCTTCGTGCCAGGACAATGCCTGGCAGCTGTGGGGGAAGCTGGGAGAGATTCGGGCTTTCCAGGCCTCAGGAATTCCAGAAGCCAATCTGGAGCGGCTCCAAGGCAGAAATGCCGTCGCCGGCTGCAGGAGGAAAGAGCCAGGAGGGCTGGAAAACAAACCCCGTTCAGTCACCCGCTGCCTTTGAAACCCCGAGAAAGTGGATTCTTGATCCTCGCCCAACAGCCACGCCCAGAGCTGCAAAAGCGAGAGAACCAAAGCTCCCAGAGGCCCCCAAGCTGACTCAATTTGGCTGTCCAATGCTGCAAACCCCTGGGAGTCAGCCCCTGGCCTCCAGGGTGTCTGCAGGGTGTGGTCAAAAAAGTCAAGATGGCGGCCGTGATGGTGCTGTTGAAGCTCGGCCTGTTTTTGATGTCCAACCAGGTGAAGAGCTTTGGTCACCCCACCACAGTCCCCGGCTGGAGCTTTTTGGACTGCAAAAAAAGGGGACTCCCGTTTTCCTCACCTGAAGCCTCTTGTGGGTGTGACATTCTCCCATCGGGATCTGCAGCCGCTGCAGTCAGCGAGGTTGGCAATGAATGAGGCCGACTCCGATTTCTCAGTGGATTTGGATTAGGACCTTCAGAACCTCCCCAAAACTTGAAGCAAGTTACAATACAGGCTGAATAGATCAACGTTGCCCAGAACAATTTCAGGAAAAATGGAGAAGAAATTGGATGGATGGATGGATGGATGCGGAAATTGGATGGATGGATGTGTGTGTGTGTTTGTGCTTGTATAGGTTTCTTGAAGGAAAACTTTTCAGAAACAATCCGAAAATGCTCTCAGCAATTGAGGGAGCAGGCTTGGGGCTCCTTCTCTGGGCACCATCCGATATGGGTTAAGGTGATGCTGTTCAGTCCCGCAAGAGCAGCCAGGTTTGATAGAAGGTAGGGAAGTCCAGCTCTTCAGGAGTTGGACTCCGCAGTGCTTCAGTTTCAGAAGCCAAGGAGTGCTTCAGAGCACAAAGGAACAGAGGCCGCCCCATCCATCCACAGCTCCTTAAAGCAGCTGCACCTTTCCCCAGGATAGCACATTGTCAACGTATCCTACAGTGCCAGGATAGGATTTTGAAACTGCCTTTCAGGTGGGCTCTCTGTGGACCAGGTGCAGGGGCTGCCAGAACTGGAGACAAGGTACTATGTGGACATTTCCTTGTGCCCCCCAAGTTCCTTCATGCCTTCAGAGGTGACGTTCAGCTCTGCTTTCTAGTGGGCCCACAAACACAAAGCTTTCAACACGCTTGTTGAAAGACAGGAGATCTCTCTGTGAAACAAGACAACTCAGGTATCGGAGCTGTTCCGAGACAGCAAGGCAAGGGCAGTCAGGGTTTAAAGCAGGGGTGTCCAACCTTGGCAACTTTTAAGACTTGTGGACTTCAATTCCCAGAGTTCCTCAGCCAGCAAAGCTGGCTGAGGAACTCTGGGAGTTGAAGTCCACAAGTCTTAAAATTGCCAAGGTTGGACACCCCTGGTTTAAAGTCAAAAGGGTGCTTTGGAATGAGGTCAGAATAAGGGATGCCACACCTGCAGGGGGTTGGGCGATGATTCACACGGTCTCTTCCTGTCCTGATAATTCTAGGATTCTCTCACTTGCCAAGGATGCATTTAGCCTGATGGTGTCCTTGTTTGCGCAAGGATTCTTGGGATTGCATCATGAATTGGAAAGCCTTGTCGTATATCTCCTGAAGTATTTTGCATTATTAAGCCCTTCCAAGTAGTACTCGGAGCTTGCAAAAGGAAGGTGGGAATGTAAATCTAATGATGGTCTCAAGAAAGGCTGGACATCCTGGAAGCTCTACAAATAAATGGATGCTTCCTCGTTTTACTGTTTGAGCAATCATCTCCTTTGCCAATTTTTCTGGAGTTGGCCCATGATGAGCTTCCCTTGATATAGTTAGATGCTTTCACAGTCAGGTGTTCTTTATTGGCCCTTGACATGATGGCAAACTCATTTCTTAACTCAAAGTTTAGTCATTTCGTTCCTGGGTTGAGATTCTCTACTGTCTGTAAGGTCAGGGCTTTTTCAGTAGTCTACAAACAGGGTTGGAGGAACAGGGTAGTAGACCGAACGGTAGATATTTCCTCCGGTGAAGAGATCCATGGCTCCTCTTTTGTATTTCACTGCTGAAAAGAGAGCTGGGTAGAATGCTTCAGTTTCAGTATATATTCACATTTATATCAGCAAATATGCCAAATCTCAATTTTTTAAATCAAAACATCCTGAAAATTGCAGGTTGGCTTATCCGTGAGTGGCACTTTTTTCATTTTGATTTGTAATTTGAGGGTCTGGTTATCTAGGGATAGGTTTGTACAAGAGTGTATATGTTAGCCTGGCTCTGTCCTAGGTTTCATTTCTTCAAATACTCAGCCCCCCCCACCCCCTGATGTTTGCTTGAATGCTCAGACTAGTGCCTGCCAAGCCTGGTGCAAATGGGATTGATCATTTCTTGAATGTCAAGGAGTTGAATGCATTGCAGACCTCCGTGGTGCCCCCTTCCTTCTTTGCATATAAAAGGTTTTCCAGATGAAAGGACTGTGCCCACACCCTTGAGGAGGGCTGGGTCTGTAAGATCTCCAAGGAGATACAGCTTGGAAAGTTTTTGTTGCTCAAGAAGATTGAAGTTTTTTTCTCCCTTTTTCATTCTTCAAGTATAGTAACTCTGGGTTTTTTTAAAATCTTTTTAAAGGAATTTTGGAGTTTATAAGTTTGGCTGTAGGACTGGTTAGTATCCGTGGAGTGGATTCTGGCCTTTATCTTGGAATGAATGAGAGAGGAGAGCTCTATGGATCGGTAAGTGTAATTCCTACAACCTTCTGACTTTATCAGAATTTGATGTAATTCAGAATGACCTTCCATAAATGACCTTGATCTGTTGGGCATTTGGATGAGTACCTGGATTCTAAGCGATAGGACAGCTGGTGTGCTTATGGCCCTGGCAAGAGCCATGAGCTGCAGGCAAGGAGAAAGGGAATAGATAGCAAAAACCAAGATTAAAATTGCAAACAAGAATTCCAGACTGAACTGCAAAGGTCCGGAGCTACAATGGAGATGATGTAACTCCTTTCAGTCTCACCTTGTCTGAAAGGCAGGACTTTGAGCCGCATCTTCCCATGAAAGTACTGTGGGGAGAAGGGTGCTAATTGAGGGAGCTTCCTAGTCCAAGAAGGATCTTCCACAGGGAACTTTGGTAGCAAATGGGGGATTTGTGAGAGCATAAATGCCATCTCCAACATGCCTCCAGCAAAAAAAAAAAATTTGAATTTCAGAGGAATGCAGACAGTATTTGTACCTGCATAGAACATATTAACCGAATTAAGTGGGAATGAAATTGGCTGTCAATAACTTAAATTCAGACAAATTGGAATGATTTATTACTATATTTACAAGCCTTCACATAGTGAAATAAGGAATAGTCATCAGACAAAGAGACACGTATCCAGATAATACCGTAAACTATGTTAAATGTCTGTCTGAAGTTATAACACCAGTAAATTCACAAATAGTATAAGGTCTAAATCACGAAATTACAGTTTAGCCAAAAGTTCTAACTAACTCTCTTTGAGTAGCATCCCTTTCTTCTTAAAAACCCAACCACCAACGTAAATCAGTTCATTGTTTTATTTTGCTTTGGAGGGTTTAGGGGAACCCACTACAGAAATGCCCCACCCTAACCCAAAAGGGCCTAAAACGAGCCTTCCCACTTGGGTATTACAGCATTAGTGGCAACCGCTACCGCCCCTGTGCCCCCCCCCCCGAGGGTCACACGGCTTCAAAACAAGAGAAATTAACAACCCAAAGACATTTGGCCCCTTGACTGTGAGCAAGCATCGTCCCCATCTCCCTCCTGCTCCTTCTGGGGTATCTTTTGGCAGGAGAGATTAACAGGGTGCCAAGTTGGGGGTGGTGTCTGATCCTCAGTCCTCCCCTCGGCGCAGGCTTGCTCAGTCGAGAAACCACCTCAGCTTCCTTTCCTCCCAACAAGGGACCCTTTGACATGGCTTCTCCAGATGAGGCTTCCCACTGATCTGTCCAGGTCTCTTTCAAGTAACGTGAAATATATTGCTTTGGTGGAGGTCATGTCCACCTTCTCATTTTTGTTGGTGCCTTCTGGTCCTAAGGAACACCAGCCCTGACCTAGCCAAGAAGGGTATTACTGAGCATCCATTTCCAAGGTTCCTCTGGAGCTTCTCTCTCTTCTGGCCCATGGATGGCCATGCCCTGGAGGGATGGAATTTGACTCCCACCCATTCAGCAGAGACCACGCCTGCTCTAGAAGGTCAGGTGGAGTAGTGAGGTCTGAGGTTGCCTGCTCCTTCCTTTGCCTTGCTCTGATGTCCCATGTTTTAGTGTTGAGTTGGCAAATGGCGGAGAATAAATCCTAAGGTTTATGCTGAGAGCAGGACTAGGACATGAGGTTCACATCCCACCTGCAGCACCAACTTTACATTTCAAGAAGGCAACAAGCACCTGTTTATATCGTGAGAGTCTGAAGGCAAATGACACCACATCCACCCTCCTGTTTTTAAGGGTCCTGAAGAACAAAACAAAAAAAGGGTGGGGGGTGGAAATCAATCCACCCAGGGCAAAAGCCAGGATCTGTTCAGGGGAGCCAGGCTATTTCGGTCAATGTCCAATATAAAACAAGTTGGAATAGAATATAAACAATCGCACAGATATAATGATCAGCCCTAATACAAGACGCTCTGGTGAACAAGAGAAAATGTCACCCTCCATCTTGATCCTCTTGGCAGGAAGGAGGGCAAGATAGAAGCCACTCAATCGTAGTTACTAGTCGTCCTTGGGTGGAGTCAGGGGGGATTTTTTTGTCCCTTCCTCTATCAGGATTGTTTTTCATGTCTCTTGTTTTTTTTCCCTTCCCACCTCCTGTTCACACAGAAGAAGCTCACACGGGAGTGTGTTTTCCGCGAACAATTTGAAGAAAACTGGTATAACACCTACGCCTCGACCCTCTACAAGCACACGGACTCTGAACGGCAGTATTACATTGCTTTGAACAAAGATGGGTCTCCCAGAGAAGGATTCAGGACTAAGAGACACCAAAAATTTACTCATTTTTTACCCAGGCCGGTAGATCCTGCTAAGATACCTGCTGTGTATAGAGACCTTCTGCGCTACAGGTGATACTCCCTGCAGAACAAATAAGGGGGTGAAGCCACATGATTGTGCAACATACATACATGCACACAGTCGGATTTCCAAAGTTTTTGCTGGAGCGCTATAAGCCTACGCATTTCATCTCTTCTGCAAGCCTATTTAACACGTAGAGAAGGCCTCGCCTGGAGCCTCTTGGCTTTCAAAGAAGGATGTAACAAGGATGGATTCCGTCTGCAGGGAGCACGACAGGATTGGGCAGAGCCTGGAACCCTATATAGGATCACTTTCTAATTACATGTTCAATTTGGTGGGCTAGGAAGAGGAAACAGAACACCCTGAGCAGAAGAGATTGCGTTCGACAACCACCAGCCACATTGATCCTAAGCCATGGAACCAGGCACAGAAGAATTCAGAAATGATTTGCATTCTGCTCAAAAGCTTGGAAAGTTTGCTTGCTAAACTAGCTCTTTGCAACTTGCCAGATGTTGGTGATCTGAAATCTTGAGAACTCGGGGACTTGCCTGGTAGTAAAGTGGAGAATCCAAATCTATTGGATGTCTGGCTCCTCAGGAAGGTGTGTGTGAATGTGGCTTTATTTGTGCAAGCACACACTTGGACCTGTGCATTTCCTTCCGTTGGAGTCTGATAGTAGAGAGGAGGAGGTGAGGTCAAAGAACGAGCATTTTTATGATGTAAACACAATACTGTTCATAAGGACAAATCTATTTATAAAGTGTATATTGTATTTATTTTATATATTTATTTATTTCATACATACGTACATATATATATATATATATATTATTTTTAAAATGAGAGATATTATGATTCAACTTTCTTCAGAAAGAATAAGGTCCTACTAATGTAGGCAAAAGAGGGGGGACTTTAAAGAGCTTTATTAGCAATAAAATGTCTTTATATATTGCAGGTGGCTTATTAATTTATTGTAATCATAGCGATTCATAATTTAAGATTTAAAACCATGAATGTGGAAACAGACCTACAATTACAGAAAACATCCTATGGGTAAGTGATGGAGAGAGGCAAAAATACACTTGGTGGGTGCTTCTATAGTGGTTGGATTGTCTGCCCAAATAACCCCATTCAGTTGCTATGCTTACACCCAAAGAGGTGAGTTTAGAATTGTAGCCAAAACTGAATTATTAAATTTGTGGCAAATCCATTCCCCTCCTATAGGAAATCTGTTTTTGAGCTGCTTAGAATTTGTCCCTCTAAGGAAAAAAAAAGTCTTGGTTTTCTCCAGGTTAACAATTGGGGCATTTTCACAACCTGAGAACATGAAGGGGAACCTAGAGCTTCCCTGTGTGATACTGGATTGCAGTTCCCGGCATGCTAAACTGGTGAGGCTGCTGGGATCCTGGAATCCTGACCTGAAAGATCAAATCACAAGCTAGTGTGACATTTTCTATGAAGAATTTTTCCTCCTATAATAACACGTCACCAGGACTGCATTTCTACTGCATTTGTACATCAGACTCAACTTTTTTTCAAAATGAAGAATCGAGATCAGTGTTTGGACTCCACTGTCCCAACGTTCTTCTTGATACCAGTCTTAGACTGACGAGGACAAGACCAAATAGAATCCATATACTTCATAATTGGATGATTGGTGCCTGGTCATCTCTTTGCTCAGGATGCCTCTTCCATCCTGATGTTCTCTTCTAGCCATCGTGTGGGTGAAGTTAGCAAGGAAAGACGGCCTCTCCTAGGCTGCCCTAAGTTGGGTTTGGATGCTAAGTAGGAGGCGACTGGCTTGGCGTGGATTGGGAGGTGTTTTTTCAACCTTGGCAACTTTGAGACGTAGGGACTTTCGTTTCCAGAATTCAGTTTTGGGAGTTGAAGTCCTTGCATCATAATGATGCCAAGATTGAAAAATTCTGCTGTAGGGAAAAAGGGCTGTAGGCTAGACTGAGAAGGCAAAAACAAACCAGGAGGCAAACTGCCATTGTGCCATTGCCAAGAAAACAATATAAACATGCCAAGAAAGATTTGTATAATCATTTTTAGAAGAGTTTTAGATTTCAATCTGGGCCCCTGGCATGTAACTATTTTCTTACCAAATTATGAATCCCTAGTTATTTTTTTGACTGTTAACAGAATTAAGTGGTTCAAATGTGGTGTCCCAACTGAGACTGTGGTCTTATCTTTTTTGATTGGGAGTCTTTCAGATGGATTACCATTGTCTTTGCATCATCACAGCCTTCAGTCATACTTACTGAAAGAAAGAAATAGGAGACTGAAATCTCACACATCTGGAAAATACCAACTGAGAAAATCTCTCCTTGAATACAATCTAGAATTCTGCTTGTTTTCCACTTTGACAATATCCCTAAAAAGGGCTGTGGGAATTCTGGGGTCAAGATGAAATAATGTTTTTTCGTTGCCTAAAACATTATCTAGTGTCCTGTAAATAATTCGTTACATATGTGTTTATTTTGTTACCTTTAAACTTCCACTTATTCCTCTCAGGGGGAAGATCTGCAGAGAAACACACCCAACTTTTATAAATGCTGAATTAAAGGTTTCACTTGGGGCCTGCCAGCCCTCCTGCGTTTGGACAGTAATAGTCTTGTGTAAAAGCATGCCCTAAATCGTTTTGATCCTTTGTCATAATATGGATGCTCCCACTGGACCTCCGACCATGATCTTTAATATAGGAACCATCTCATTTCCCCACATTTTGAGATAAGAAACACTCCAACACCTTAGTAGAGGATCTAGAATAGACTAGGCAAAATCTCAGACACCCTTCAAAAAGACCACGAAAAATCCTGGCTTTACTCAAGTAATCTCCTGGGTGGTCATGCCATATAAGGAGATCCTGAGGGTGGAGCAGATCTCTTCCCAGAGACTGGAAACTAAAACATATGATGAACTGTTATAGGAACTGGGCCTGGCTAGTCTAGGAAAGAGAAGGACCAGGGGAGACAGGAGAGCAGCCTTCCAGTATTTGAGGGGCTGCCCCAGAGAGGAGAAGGGGGTCAAGCTATTCTCCAAAGCACCCAAAGGCCAGACAAGGAATAATGGATGGAAACTGATCAAGGAGAGAGATTCAACCTGAAAATAAGGAGAAACTTTTTGACAGTGAGAACAATCAACCCATGGAACAGAAGTTGCCCTCAAAAGTTGTGGGAGCATCATCACTGGAGACTTCCAAGAAGAGACTGGACTGCCATTTGTCAGAAATGGTGTAGGGTCTCCTGCTTAGGCAGGGGGGGTTGGACTAGATGACCTACAAGGTCCCTTCCAACTCTGATTATCTGGATCTGGATCTTCCACCTCCCCTGTGCTCCAGAGCAGACTTTGTTTCACGTATGATGTGTGTGAACCCAGCAACAAAACCAACCGTTGATATTTAGGTTAATGAAAAAGGCTCCTGGCTTGGCAACTTGAATGAAATGGCTTTGTTTCACTGTAACTTACTTTTTAAAGTTTGATAAATGCACATTTAATGGTATATCAGGATATGCTCCATTTTCAGTCCGCTAGGGACTCTGCGAAAGTGTACGAAATGTACAAAAAGGCTTTAGCATTGCAGCTCCGGAGGTAATGAACGAGTCCTTAGGCAGCAGACACAGAAGGGTTCCAGCTGGAACTCCCCGCCCTAAATTGACCTCCAAATTCCTCTTTAATCATGTTTTAGATCTTTGTTAAACCATAAATGTAATTCCCATACACAGCAAATGCCACAAGCATCTCTTGAAAATCTGGATTTATGGCAACTTTTAAATCCATGATAGCAAATGAACAGCTTTTGTTCAACGATATTTGAAGATGTTCCTCACTTACCTTTTATGTCTTGATTCTAATTTGATCAGTTGGATAAATGTAATACAGGATACATAAATGTAATATTGCAATATCCAGTCAATATCCACTAGATGAAACACAACTACTGTAAGACTAAGTCATCCTTTTTTCCACCAGATAGTCATCCTTTCTTGTTGTATTATAGTTCTGGTCATAGTCTTATGGTTCATGAAACCATAAAACAAATGTTCATGAATTTTTGTTTCATGAAAGAAAATAAGGAACTTCTGAGAACAAATGCAGACAACTTATTTCAAAAGTAAATAAAACATTTCTGTCTATTGAGTTAGAATATATTTCCTTCTATGCGCTGATGCAGAAAATTAATTGAATGGCAGAAAACAAAGTTACTATCAGTGAGATACAGATACTATTAAATTATGAAAACAGGGAAATCTCTTAATCCTGATAGCTATTCTTTTGCATAGCATAGAACTTTTTTTAGCCTATATTGATAGATTCATATAATCATGCTTTTTAAAGATAAAATATTCCCAACTTCCTTTGTGAGGCTTACATAACCACAGTTGTGAAAGTTATTAGGGTTTCTGCCAACTGTGTACAATTTCATTCAATTTCCTTGTTAAATCTGGTGGAGAAAATGTGTATCTGTCCATCCAGAGCAATGTGATTTCCTAAAAAAAAATTAATAATAATCTGGATTTTAGCAAAGCATTTGATACAGTTCCACATGAGCTCATAAGAAATTTGTACAGGCTAGGACTTAACCACTGGCTGATTCAGCGGACAGGACATTGGCTCAAGGGTAGATCCCAGTGTGTGATGATTAATGGGGCAGTCTGACCAGAGACCTGTCACAAAGAGTGTACCACAAGGCTGAATCCTAAATCCAGAGTGTTTGTGAGTGATGTAACAGAAGGGTTGCTAGGTAAGGTTTGTCTTTTTGCTGACGACACAAAGATGTCCAATAGAGTTGACATTCCTGGGAGTATTTGTAACATGGAGAAAAGATTTGGCATTGCTGGAAAATTGGTCATTACTGAAGTCCATGTATACTATGTCCGCAGCATTTTGCTGGTCCATTAATTTAGTTGCTTTATTGAAGAATGCAATAAGATTTGTCTGGCACAATCTGTTTTTGACAAAGCCATGTTGGCTTTCAGTAATAGCTTTGTTGTTTCTAGGCGCTCGCAGATTCGTTGCTTGATTATTGGACTGTTTTATTTAATCCCAAAGAGGCCACGAGCATCAAAAGTCCTTAAAGGAAGAACATCTTCTTTCTCCCTGAAGCCCCTTGTGTCATAGGAGAAGGAAGCAGGTACCAACAGATGCCAACAAACCTTAGAAAGCCAACACCTCCCAGATAATGACCACCAAAGTTCAGTTGTCCTAGCAGTTGTCTGCTGGGATAGTTTGGGAGATGTTCTGTAATTCAGGCAGCTTTTTCCAACCTGGGGCATTCCGATTATATGGAGGGTACAATAGATTTGCACTCCTGGTGAGCCAAGTGATGCTATTGCTGCCTTAAGAACAGATGCATGCAAAGATGACAGAAATGAGATGACAGAAACAAAAATAGCAAGTGCCATCTCTGCAAAGAAACTGATAAAATAATGAATCACCTTGTTAGCTGTTGCAAGAAGATAGCGGAGACTGACTACAAACAGCGGCATGCCAAAGTAGCAACAATGGTGCATTGGAAGATCTGCAAGAAATACCATTTGCCTGCAAACAAGAACTGGTGGGACCATAAAATAGAGAAAGTCGTAGAAGAAGTTGAAATGCTCTGGGACTTTAGAATTCAGACCAACAGACATCGGCCACATTATATCCGAGACTTAACAATTTGCAATAAGACAAAAAACCTGATAGTGGACATGACAGTATTTAGGGAGAGCGAGCAGAAGAGAAGAGAAAATCCTGGAGAAGATAACAATACAAAGAATGC